AAGTTGTTTGACCTTGTCTTCGCAACTCGGTCATATTGGTAGGAAGACTTAGAGAAACACACCCAGTCCGGAGTCCATTGTATGCATCATCATGTCCAGAGTAGGAAATGGAGTAGTACCACGTCCATGGTCCTACTCTGGAAACGATGATGCATACAATGGACTCCGGACTGGGTGTGTTTCTCTAAGTCTTCCTACCAATATGACCGAGTTGCTAAAACAAGGTCAAACAACTTCTATACTCTTCCTTGTTAATCATTTTCTCTCAAGCCAGCACACACACACACACTCAAACATACTCATACTTATCTTCTTTGTTCCTAACCGCAAGTCATGATGGGTCTACAAGATTGTGTTCGGTTAGTTTTGGCATCCCTCATCTCTCCCTTATGGTTTTATCCTGCAAAGCTTCTGTCTATCGTCAAACTAATTGACTCTCCGGCCAGTTGTGGTAGCCAGCCATTTTTACTCACTCAGCTTTTCTTGTCTACACTTTAGCTCTATCACTTAGCTCCTTAATAAGCACTCGATATCTTCATGTCTATCTGCTCTGCAGCCCTGCCACGTCCAAACTCATGGCTCAGATCCTGTCCTCCTTCAATTGTATGCATTTGTGCCATGTGAGTGTGCGGAAGCCGCGACGCATTTCCATTGGCTGGCGGCTGCCTGTGCGGTCTCGAACCCAAAAGTCGTCACGACAAGTCGATCATATCGGGCTCAACCAATTTGACCAAATCACGGGCTTTTTTCATTTTTCCAAATTGCCTCCATTCACATATTCCAGTTTATCGTCAAACCCAGCACCGGACCTAGGCGTTAGGGTGCCACATCTGGTGTCCTAAAACCGGATCCCTCAAGCATCAAGCCGCATCATCCGATAACACATTTTCATCCCTCGTTTCCCCCAGCAACTACTCAGCATTTTTGCTCCGGTCCATATCATGGCCCTCTAAATTAACGTGCTGCCCTAGCAACGGTGGCCCGATGAAGTCTTCTGGGGTCTAAAACCTCTGTTTTATTGATTACTTGTGGTTATCTGCACTAGTTGTCTCGCTTTCTTTTTCCTCTGTGTAGGCAGGCCTCAATTTTCTTGTGTGTGTGTGTGTGTGTGTGTGTGTGTGTTTTTACCTCTATCTCTGAAGCTACTCCCACAGTCGTGGTTGGCCCGAAAGAGCGTTACGGTCTAAGGGATGCGATGTTTTTTCTGTTTGACAGGAACTTTCGCTACTGCCTCTTGGCCTGTTGGATGGTGGTAATGCGTGGTGCATTTGATGGGCTATGAGACCAATGCGACGAAAGAGTTAATGTGGGATCCCGCTGGAACTAGCATCATCACGATTTAATATGCCTAATCTACACTCTTCTCTCGACCAGCCTGCTGCCAGCCAGCCTCGGGACGTAGCAAGTCAGTCCAAATCGTGCTCTAACTGAACGTGAAAACACTTCGGGCGCTACCCAGCCTCCCGGCAGCGCTTGGGTGTTCTTTTGATCTCGAGTGTGCATGCCTGTGCGCATGTATGTGTATATGTGTGCACATAAATGTGGGAAAAAGAGGCGTTGGTCACGATACACTCCGAGCCACACCGAACGCATGCCTGCATTCACGGCTGGATGTGCGAGTACTTGTTTTAGGTTGGCAGCTTATTTTACTTTGATGCATTTTTACTTTTCTATTCGCTTTGGCCGAAATTTCGGACCTGGGTTCCAGTGTATTTATGTCCGTTTATGCTTTGTTTATTCCAATTATACATTTAAGTTAAATAGACAGTTCGTACTGCCTAGGCTTGGCCCTCGGGGTAGCTTTGATGTGTGGTACAGTTTTCGGATAGAGACACAGATTTATGGTATTACGAGTAGAAGTATTTAGACCATGCTGGGCTCTTGCTTCGATTCGAGTGTGGCGAGTGATAATTTAACCACCATTGCCGTATCCCTTTACTCGATCCCTCCGGCATTGGATGCATCCTGTACATGGTTACAGTGGGTGTTTGCGTTTCGTCTCTGCTGACGTGAGTGATCAAGTCGTTCACTTCACATCCTCACCCACCCCCCGAGCCAGGGGGGCGGCTGTGAATGGCCACATCTCCTGCCGCGTCCAGAATGGACCGCATATTGGGGCGGCGAGTGTCTCCGAGACCCCTTCCATAACTTCGTTCTTGCCCTCGCTCAAATTTGCAGGACGGAGGTCAGTTTTAGGCCAGGACGAGCGCCACCTGAGGCCGTTACTTGTTGTTAGGGTCCACTTGGGGTCAGTAACTTTTGTGAGGAACATTTCAACACCTCCAGAAGCCAAGCGGCGGGCATCTCTTCTTCAATGTCTCCACTTTCTGGCTAGATCGCAGGTTTCACGGTGACTTTGTGCTCATCTCAGCACAGCAGGCGAGAACCGGACCCGTAAGGCTACTTGCCTCGGAGATTGGCATCGTTTTCGACCTCCAAAGGGGGGGATTCGCCACTAGTTGTCATAGCTTGCCTAAAAGTGTGACGTGGAAACACCACAAAGTATATGCTTTTTATGATCGGGCTCTCCCAGAGGCATAGTATAGCCTTGCAGTACGGCGCCTTTTTTCCGCGTCATCTCTCATTTGAGGACGCTTCCAGAACGGTGAGGCCAAACGTCCGACATTCTTCAGAAAGTGAACGGGACTCGGATGCTTCTCTTAGTGACAGCCTGTTTTGGCGTCGAACGGCTGGCCGACATTTTGTCTCGTTTTACATGTTCTATATTTCTCTGAGCCATCCATTTCGGCATCAAAATCCAGCTGCAGAACTCAACAGGGACTCTGCACAAACGCCTATTCTACTCAGGATCATTAGGATTGTTGGCCTTTCCAAAGTTTCATTGATTGCTATGGCAACTGGTTAGTTGTGTGTTGTCTGAGGGAGGATAGAAGGGTAGATTTGGCAGTCGGAGTTTCATTTGTTGCCTACACATTTTTGTGAATAGAATAGGGAGTACAGTTGATGCCAATTTAGGAGCCGGCCAGTCGTGCTGTATGTCGACTGTGGTGTCCTTAAGGCTGAAGTCGCCCTCATCTGATGGCCTTCGACGGTGAGGCACGACGGTTTTCTGCTCTTGTTGATGCAGCGCCTCACTTCCTGCTCTCCCGTCCGCTCGGTCGTTGGGGCTCAGAAGATCGTCATCCACCAC